GCCCCCTACGGGAGCTATCCACTGTTATTTCGATTTTATTTAACCAGTATTATATGATAATTGGCAATTATCCCATTTGTTTATGAAATTAAAATTTCATTAACCAAAGGTAAGTATGCAATCTCTTATATAAACATAAAAACTAATATGCGCCTTCGGCGCTAGTTTTAAAAATTCATTATACATCATGTCATAGATAGACAGATATATTGGTTTGACGATCCTATTCAAAATGGCCAAATGGTGGCCTTTTTTGTGCTAAAAAATCATCAAATATCAAGCATTTCTGGCATTTATGGATGGATTTCGTTCAAACTTGGTACATATATTGAACATTACAGGTTCCTGATGCACATCATTTATTTTTCAGATCGGATTCAAAATGGCTGTCTTAAATTTGATAACTAACGGGGACTGTGCCATGCATGGCTTGTTATTTTTATAGTGACCCATGAAGCACCACAATATGACGTTCACGTGTGATTTCGTATGCAAAATGAGTAAGGACAGAGTACATTTTGTTGTGATATTGCTCGACCAAGTTTGGCCGTGACTGCGTCCCGGGCCAAATTGATATATTCAATAAAAATGCACATTTACGCATTCTTGCGTTTGACTAGACCGGCATAGTTTGGAATTTTTTTTGTTTGTCAAAAAATAGACAATAACCTGTGGCTGCGAAAGAAATCTTGAGCAGTTTCACAATTCGTATTTCTCTGCCTGATGTCTGTGAACGACCTATCAATCAAATTCAAAATTGCATGGAAACCTAGATGATACTTTGTAGCAAGTTCCAGTATAAATGTAAACAATGTCACTGTTGTTGTTCTTTCGGCATTGCGCATCCTAGCCAAAATAAAAAAAAACATGATCACTGGCATGGGCACGAACACTTGAATATGTGACACGAAACTACCGGTAACCATTTCCAATAAGATAAATAAATATTACGACCCGGTGATCGATCCATGACACTCTTACCTGTGAGGTTATGGAAGATAAAAAGTGATCGCTCAGATACGAGAGATTTACTCCACGCAACGTAATTTATGTCTGTGAATATATTTATTGAACATTGCAGCATAGACCGTATCACTTTAGAATGAACTGTGAATACTAGTATACCCGACTTAAATTCGGACTCCAACAAGCTGCCTCTTCACCAGGAACGAATTGTTTATTTCACTTTACACGGCTCATGGAGCTATAATAATTTTAGCTCCATGCACAGCTCAAATCAGTAACTATACACATAAACAAAAGATTAATAGGACTATCTACATTTAATGAACGATTGACAGTTGCTGTCATTGAATAATCAGTCAAATTTGAATACTAAGCTCCGCCCAGCCCATGGGTAGTAAATTATGTATTCGCCAATAACAGTTTGATGACAATTGTTTGCCTAATTTTTTAAAGGTGGAGTTAGTCTGTCTCTTCACTAACAGTCACACATTGTTAACACCTGAAAGTGTGAATAATTTCCTGTCATAATTTCAGACAGCCATGGTAAATATTTTATTTTACGTCAGTAAAAATATGTGGTCACGCCTGTAAAAGGGAATTCAATAGAAGGCTTCAAAAGTAGTCACACCTTGCAGAGGTGTTAAATTTGCCACAATGGACATGAAAACTACAATGGTTGTTACTGTTGTAGTTCGGACACAGAGTTAATTAGCACACATTTCCGAGATAAACCATAAACACGAGTTGATAGTAAATGTGAAGAAATAAAGTACATGTTGTGTGACAAATTCCTCTATCCCTGTCGTGGACAAGAAGTTTGTTTAACCGCAACCCGGATTGAAAAAAAAAATGTCTGACGTTGCTTGACCGGGATAGAGGGGTGTGTTTTAGTTGTCAGAGGTTTAGGGGTAAATAGAAGTACAAGCACGAACACTTCAACCTAACCATTTTAACTTGTATAAATAAAATTAGAGACGGACACAGAATATAAACCAGTAGTAATATGTTTCGTTAAAATGAGAATGGGCATATCAGCGTTGAAATAATCAAAGAAGTGTACATTGTAGTTATCATCGGTAAAAACACGTTAACTTGCTAAACAGGAACTCGTGCGACCCAACGTTCAACAAACGCAATCTCGTTCGTTGCTCAGTGGTGCCAAGAACTAGATAGAGCTAAAGGGAAATGAACAGCTGTCTCCCAGGTTGCCAGGACACCGACTTTTTTGGGCACCGCCAGCCAATGGTAGCTGTGGTTCCACGCACCTCTGTTGATACTTAGTACTAAGGAACGCAAATTGCGGAACTTTTCTCTAAACTATGACATACTCCCACTCACCCATGGAGCCAAAAAATCTTTTTTTTTTAGCTCCATGACTCACCCCAACCTAACATTGACAAATATAGAAACACTTGCAACTCAAATACGATCGTTATGGATGGCTACAGATCATTGTTACTATTCGTGAACTGGCTAATTTGGTGAATTTTGCGCCTGTTTTTCTGGATGATATCTGGTTTGTTAACGATTACGTCAACTGCCATAAACAACACAGTTACTAAATATTCCGAGCTTCATGTTTCAGAATACACTACATCATAATACAGTCTTGTATGTCGTCAAACTATTCTCTAAATGGGGTATTTATATCGTTGTCACGTTTTCTTTAGTGTCTTAATTTTCTCATACGCTAACAAATCTGTCAACAATTTGTCCATTCCTGAATTCATGGTGAAAAGAGTAGAATACAATTTCGGATGTCAGAGGGTTGTCCAATCAGACTGCACGAATTGACTGGTCTCAGACACAGTCTCATTTCCGGTCAGAGTGGCATCCGAGAGTCTCTAAATCAGTCTCAAACACGGTCTCAAATGGCATGTTCCTCTGTGGGAGAGTCTCAAAAGTGGTCTCAAATGCCTTTTAGAGGGTACCGTACATACCTCCACCCAGTGGTGTCTGCAGTGTCACCCAGTGGTGTCTGCGGTATTACCCAGTGGTGTCTGCGGTGTCACCCAGTAATATCTGCAGTGTCAACCAGTAATGTCTGCAGTGTCACCCAGTGGTGTCTACTATATAAGTTTATCAAAAAGATATATTTTAGGTTCTCTAGTAGCTAGGTTGCCATAGTGACAGCTGTAACTAGCAAAATTGCAACCAAAAATCAATAGTGATACACACTGATAAAGAGAACAAAACTATCCCAATGAAGGCATGGATGTATGCTCAGTAACCTAGCAACCAGAGAAATTACCTAGTCTATGTTTATATGTATTTGTTTATAGTATTTGCTCTTTTGTGATAAAAGTGCACTTTAACCTAATGTGGCATTTACTCCTTTACAGCTGGGTCATTAAATTATGACTTATTTGTACTATAGACAAACCATTTTACCTTAACGCATACTTTACTAATAGAAGAAATACACAATTTATGCTCAAAAACTGTAGATAATGTATTGAACGATTGAATTTTTTTTTAATAGATTAGACGCCGATTGCCTGAACAAGATGCCAGTAACCCAGAATTGTTATTCCAAAAAGAGGTGAGTGTTTATATTTAGTCCCCGCTCGGACGCAGTCCGAAAACGGGGACTTATGTTTTGACCTCCATGTGTCTGTGCGTGCGTGTGTGTGTGCGTGCGTGTGTGCGTGCATCCGGACCTGTATCTTAGAAATGCCTGGACCAATCACAATCAAACTTCACACATACATCATACATGATATCATACATATGCACATCATTTTGTTTTACAATCTGATTCAAGATGGCCGAATGACAACCATTTTTGTGCTAAAAAATCATAAAAATCAAGCATTTCTCGGCTGTTTACAGATGGATTTTGTTCAAACTTGGTGTATACATTAGACATTATGGGACCTTGATGCAAATAATTTTGTTTTTCAGATTAGATTCATTATACATCATGTTATATATATATACATGTATTCAAAATGGCTGATTTTGAATGCTGTTCCAGAGCAATATCTCTCAATATGGACAAGTACTTGTTTGACGATCAGATACAAATTTCAATCATTTTAATGTTAAAAAATCATATTCCTGACATGGTTATATTCCAGCTATATTACTATAAACAAAACTATATATCTTAAATTTGATAACTAACAGGGACTGTGCCATGCATGGCTTGTTTACTATTAATCAAGTTTCGTCTGTCCCTTTTTTAAGGCGTTTGCGAGATATACTGATTAAAACCTGATGCAAACACGTCATTTATTGACTAAGTTAATTACCGGTAATGTCTTTACTACAATAAATCCTATCATGCATTGCTGTTTGAATTTTGCTTTAGATGTGTGCTAAACACAACTACCAGTATCTAAGGAGATACATAATTGACATCTTATAATTCTTCATGAAACAACTTGAGTGTGGGATGCATATCTTAATGGAAAATGCTTTGCATCAAATCTTGATTTTGTAATATACCGGTAGTCCAGTTTTAGACAGGAAATTCTTTGGTGATTCAGTAACTTGATGACACCCTCAGATGCTGAAAGTCAATCACAGCTGAAGCTGCAAAACTGCTTGGTGATGTTTGGCTATTGACAAGACTGATATCTTGCAAGTCCCGTAGCTGTTGTATTTATTACAGTACACATACTTAACATGTCAAAAATCTTAAACAAATTTTTGCTTACGATGCAGCTTGTTGGTGAATGCAATGCAAGATCACAGTTGACCTATATGTGTATTGCATTTCAGCAGCATTGAGTATATCCTCACATTATTGTGCTCATTTCTGCAGGTCAAAGAGTCATTAAAGGACTGTTTAGATCACTACGACAAAATAGTTTTGGTAATGAAGGAAATTGCATCAAGCATAATGGAAGACGCATCTGCTCTACAAGGTAAATTATGTAATTTATATATTAACAGATTGTATAGCTTGCTTTATTATAGTAATTTACCATTGCAGTCCTCATGTCTTTACAATCTCATTCACATTGAAGGTGTCTATAATTTTAGGGGTTGACCATTATACCTTAGAGGTCAGGGATTTTTGAGAAGATAAAATCTTCAAAGAAAGTTTTGAAAACAAAATTCTGCAGGAAATATTACAGAATGAAACTCACATTTAGTAAAGGAAACAAAAATTTCTTTCCACAAACATCAATCTAAAAAAGAAAGTTTTTCTACCATCTCCCCTACAAGAATTTGAACATAAACATGGTTTTTAGTAATCAATAAAATCTCTCAATCTTCCATGTCTTTGTTGGTAGACAGCCTGTGCTCAGTCACAGTCAACCCGACTGGGTTTCAAAGAGATGCAACCATGTTTATGCAGAATAAATTATGTAAGAAAGCTCCCTCACTGGCCTATATTCTTTTAGGTCAGTGATTCAGATGCTCACCGGATATCAGCAATTAATTTTCTGGTACAAAATGTTTCATTGTTGCACGGCAAAGGACCAGATTGTCAACTGTTGAATTTACTGTTTTACACCCAAAATATAGGAAATATAGATATGTCTTATGGTGCTAGTTGCCATTTTGGACAAAATGTTCTAGGCTAACTTAAAGACAATTGTAGTCGTTAAAAATCAAATTCCCTTAAGGTTTGATCTTTGGAACCAGTGTTGTTGCTTTTATTTATGTTAAAGGGGAAGTCAAGCTAAACAACATAATGCTTTCTAAAGAAAGATTTCCACAAATGTAGGAGAATGCAATTCACAGTTTTTAGTATCGTTCGGACGCAGTCCGAAAACGGGGACTTATGTTTTGACCTCCGTGTGTCCGTGCGTGCGTCTGTGTGTGCGTCCGGACCTGTATCTTAGGAATGCCTGGACCAATCACAATCAAACTTCACACATACATCATACATGATTATACATATGCACATCAATTTGTTTGACAATCTGATCCAAGATGGTCGAATGGCGGCCATTTTTGTGCTAAAAATCATCAAAATTAAGCATTTCTCGGCTGTTTACAGATGGATTTTGTTCAAACCTGGTATATACGTTGGACATTATTGGACCTTGATGCACATCATTTTGTTTTACAATCTGATTCAAGATGGCCGAATGGTGGGCATTTCTGTGCTAAAAAATCCTGAAAATCAACCATTTCTCGGCTGTTTACAGATGGATTTTGTTCAAACTTGGTATATACATTAGACATTATGGGACCTTGATGCAAATAATTTTGTTTTTCAGATAAGATTCAAAATGGCCGACTGGCGACCATTTTGTATTAATGAATGTGGTTCTCATGCCATATTCTGACTTGCTTTCACTGATTATGTTCAAATTTTA